TGACCATTTCGTATGTTGTATATGTAACACGAATCTGGAACATGTTCAATTCTTTCAAAAGGATGGAAAGCCATATTGTCACCTTGACTATCATGAGACATTCAGTCCAAAATGTGGACACTGCAATTCTGCCATTGAAAATGTAAGTTGAAACTCTTTGAGAGCCTTGCGAAGATAAACATGTTCATATTCATATTCCAATACTGAAATCCCAATGGCTTTTTTCTGTTTTTTTCTCTTTATCCCTAAAAAGGAATGTCTGACCGCATTAGGAAAGAGCTGGCATCCTGGTCACTTTTTCTGTCGAGAGTGTGGTGATCCTTTTGATGAAGATGGATATATGGTCCATGATGACTTTCCATATTGCGAAAAGGATTATTTACGATTATTTGCTCCAAAATGCACAGCTTGCCAAGATCCAATCCAAGGTGACTTTATTAGTGCCTTGAAAGGAAAATGGCATCGGGATTGCTTTGGATGCACTGTAAGTTTATTTAGAGTTTTAGGCTAAATGGATATTATGATTCTTTATTTATTCTTCTTGGTTATTTATTCTTCTTTAACCTTCATTTGCTCTTTTAGGTTTGTCATATTGGATTCGATGCTGCATCGTATTATGTCGAGAATGGAAAGCCTTACTGTCAAGCGCACTACAAAACTGGTTCAGCAGGAGCAGCACAATCTCAGGCTGATTCTACTTAAGAAGCAAAAAATAATAATAATAAGAAAAAAGAAAAATACAAAAACAACAACAACATACCTTCATTCCTGTATTCCTACAATTATGCGGGAAACAAATGGGGCTCAAAGCAAAAAGAAGGCAAACAGAAATAATAATGCAAGATAGATAACGAATAATATTTTGTGAAACATGCGATACTTTTCTTGGAATGTTACTTCTTGGAAAAAGATACATGTATGTACACATGTGAACATGTCTGTGTCTGTCTATTTTCTATTGTTATTGCATGTATAATTTTTTTTTTTTTTTTTTTTGTAATACATGTACATTTTATAGTAGTTGGTCGGACCAGTGTTATTATTGTTTATTGTTCTTTACTCATTGCCCATTCAACATCTTGTTCTCATTAAAAACTAATCAGATGAATCTCAATCCCGTCGTCACAGCTGTAGCTGCCGGTCTTACCTTAGCAGGCTATGCCTATTCTAAAAAATCAAGAGAGACTGGAAAAGAGCCTTGGGATGAAAAGAAAGATACCCTTGAATACGATTATATTGTCTTGGGAGGTAGGTTAAAAACACCCATAAAGCTCTCTTTCTTTCTCTCTCTTTTCTCTCTCTCTTTCAGAGTCTTTATTTCTCTTCAAGCAGAATATTAATGCAAAAAGTTTATACTGCGTAACAACAGGTGGAACTGCAGGATGTGTTCTTGCAGCGCGCTTGGCCGAAGATCCCAAAGTTAGTGTTCTTGTAATCGAAGCAGGTGAAGACATGGATAATTCCATGACGGTAAAAGTGCTCCCAGCCGCTCCTCCAGCCTTATACCATGGCAAATATGACTGGCAATTGAAAACAGTCCCTCAGGTACATGCAAATGGACGAGTGATAATACAGGTTCGAGGACGTTTGTTGGGAGGATGCAGGTAAAGGGGAAAAACTAAATTTTGGTGCCTGAATGACTGTCATTTCAATTATCTTTGCCAATTTTTATTTTAAAAATCTCAATCATATATATGAACTATGTAGCTCCATCAACGGTACGCAGTATACTCGTGGATCAGCCTCAAACTTTGATCAATGGGCAACTACATTTGACAATCCTGGATGGTCATATAAAGATGTTTTGCCTTACTTCCAAAAGTCCGAGTGCTTTACAGATCCAAGTCTTGATCCGAGCCACGAGAGGTGGAGATATACAACGAGAGAATATCTTCCTGAGTATGATACCTTCCAAGAAGACATTCACGGAACAGATGGACCTTGGCAAGTCTCGTTCCATCACCTCTACTCTATCTCCAAGAACTTTATCAAAGCAAACCTTGCTGAGGGTATTCCACGATTATCGGATGCCTCTGCATCCCCAATGTTGGGAATAGCCAGACTCTATCACTCTCTCCAAGTTGATGGTGTTCGTAGTAGTACCTCCAGAGCTTTTCTGGGACCAAAGAATGTTCCAGGGGGTGGCAACAGGGGAAGAATCCGCATCGCCCTCAAGTCAAAGGTGGAGCGAATCATCATTGAAGAAAAGAATGGGGTCAAGAAGGCAGTAGGAGTCGAGTTTAGAGATGCACGAGATGGTAATATCTTTTAAAGTTACAACATACTTAATTTAATGATTTTCAATCTGAATAATCACTTTTTTTCTCTGTTTTTTTTTTTTTTTTTACAGTTCTCCAACGAGTCCATGCAAATCGTGAAGTACTCGTATGCTCCGGTGTTTTCCATTCACCCACCCTTCTCCTTGCATCAGGAATTGGCTACAAGATACATCCTTCTATCCCACTGGTCCATCCACTAAAAGGTGTCGGAGAGAACTTGACTGATCCATTTAGTGTGCCACTTAGGTACTCGGCACCTGCTCACATTAATACCGTTCACTCATTTTTACACGCCAAGGCCGTCATTTCAGAAGTTTATAAATACTTCAGACACGGAACAGGAATGCTTACTAGCGCGTTAGTCGAGACTGCATGCTTCCTCCGTCTGGAAGACATCTCTCCTGAATTTGTTGCTCGAGAGAAAGCCAACGGTACATGGCAAGAACGTGCCTCAGGTCCGGATGCACCTCACTTGGAGATTATGTTTTTACCTTGTTTCGTCAACAAAGTTGGAGAAACTCAAGTGTTTCCAAAGCACGGTAATTACTATTCATTAATTATCGTACTTCTCAATCCTGCATCCAAGGGCAGAACTACCGCCACAGTGAACGAGGTCACGACAAATGGAAAGAGCGAGAAACGACATCAAGTCGAGCCAGTGATTGATCCAAATTACTTGGCAGATGAATTTGATATCAGAGCGATAAGAGAGGGAGTGAGATTCGCACGTAAGCTCGGAAGAAGAATGTCAAAAGACCCAGAGTTGGCTGGTGTAGAGAGCTATCCTGGTGAAGAGGCTGTACCTGATGACGATGATGCTGCATTGGAAGCATATATTCGTCAAGAAAGTATTAGTTCCTATCATTCTACTGGTACATGTGCAGTAAGTGACATGAAACGAAGCAATTGGGTTTTTTGATATATCTAAAGATGAGAAAACGTATTCAAACTGTATATTTCTTCTGATAGATGGGTCCTGCAAGTAACCCAGAAGCTGTGGTCGATGCAAGGCTCAGAGTTCATGGTGTTGATGCCTTGCGAGTTGTTGACGCAAGTATCTTCCCTAGGGTTCTTTCTGGTAAGCGAAAATTTCGAGTGTCAGTGCATTGTCGCGTAAAATAAAATAAAAAAAAATGATAGCAACTAACTGAACGCGCTTAATAATAATAATAATAATAATAAATAGCTCACACCGCTGCTGCTACGGTGATGGTTGCAGAGAAAGCATCCGATATGATCAAGGAAGACTGGCTTGTCAAGCAAAAACTCGAGAAAATGATGCTCTGATTTTAGAGTATACAAGTGAATAAGTGAATAAAATAATACAATAGAATACACATTTTAACTATATGGGTGAATACAAAACTCTGCGGTTGTATGTTTTATTCAAATAATCTAGAATTTCTTTGCGCGTTCAACTACGCCGAATTTCAATTGCGAGATAATTTTGCCCTTGGTGGCCAGTTCGCAGGTGACAGTCTCACCAGGCAAGACTGGACCAACACCTGCAGGGGTTCCTGTCAAGATCACATCACCTTCCTGCAATTTCATGATGGAAGAGACATGTTCGATCAGGTTAGGGATCCTATAATTGTGGAGAGTGTGTGGAAATTAATATTTTTAGTTTTCTTTTTTTACAAAGGTGAAAAAGGAGATTCGCGTAATTGATATGTGATTTACTTGAAGATCATGTCCTTGGTGTTTCCATTCTGCTTTGTAACGCCATTGATTTTGAGTGACAGATCCACATTGTTCGTGTCTGGGATCTGATCCTTGGCGATAAGATCTCCAATTGGTGTAAAGGTATCATAGCCTTTAGCTGTGCTCCAAGGCAAACCTTGGGACTTTGCGATCATTTGAAGGTTACGGGCAGTCATATCCAAGGCCAAAGTGTAACCAGCAATGTGTTCATTAGCCTTGTTGGCAGGAATGTCGCGACCGTCTTTACCAATCACAACACCGAGTTCTACCTCGTGATGGACTTCACAACCGGAAGGAACCTCAATGTTTTGACCATTGGTGATGTAGGAAGAAGTCGGCTTCAAGAAAAAGAAGGGTGCTTTTGGAACTGCATTACCGAGTTCCTTGGCGTGTTCGCTAAAATTGCGACCAATTGCTACGATCTTGCGACCTGTTTGGATGAAATTGCGGGATGCCATTTGTTGTAGAATAAAATGAAATGAACAATGGAGTTTACAGTCGTCCCTGGCTCATGTCGAAGGGAAGGAGACATTGAATAAGATTTGTCACCTGATATTTCAAGTTGAAATGTTAGCACACCTATTTCCCCCATAACCTAAACTATGCCAGGCATGACTCTTTTGGTGAAATGACATTGTCTCTATCCACCGTTGGTGATTTTTCCAATGATCAATATTTTCGAATAGCTAGCACGCTTTGGTCGTTTACCAGTTCCTGCAACCTCTCCTACTGATCCCAAATGGATAGTATATCCTTCTCTTCTCCTCGTGTCTTGTAATTTTCCATCCATGCTTCTTGTGAGTGCAACAAAAGTTAAACGCTGTAAGAGTGGCATGGATGCACCATTCGATTAATAATAAAATAAGAGTCAGAAAGTTCATTTTGATTCTGAAAACTATGTCTCAGTCCTATGCTCAACGATAGCAACAAATACAACCCCATTTTTTAAGGCTCCAAGAAGCAACGCCGCATTTTTCATTAAAAATAATTAATACTTTAAAAAGAGGGGATGGGCAGGGTCACATCCTGCGTGAATTGAACACACAACCTTCCGAGCTTTAGTCTGACGCTCTCCCGTTTGAGCTAAAGATGAACTCCTGCCCACTCGGAACCTTAACCTATGGAAGTTAGCTTAACTTTCGATTAAGCTATTTGTGTTAGCTATCGGCATATCCTTAGTTAATGAGGCCCAGGACCAGTATCCCAGCATACGTTGTTGATATTTAATATGTTAATAAGCTCATCATTGAGAGTTGCTTCTAAATATAGGTTGTTAGGTTGTTTGAGACTCTGCCTTCAAGTCTGCATTAAGGATGACGAGCTACTACATGTAGAATGATTTAATTTAAGTTGGACTACTACATTCTCAGACTGATTTTCGCGTTCCCTTACTATGAAGGTATAAGGTGTGGCATCTCAATCCAGCAATGTTGCTATTTAAATAATATCAAGCTAAATGTTTAACCTTGGAATGTTAATAGGCTATGATACCACATAAAGGAAATACTGGCTAAAAACGAGTTGCCAGAAGAATTGTCCATAAGAACCCCAAGAAATCGCCTATGAATATACTATTCTTAGAGAAGCCCAGATAAAGCCTTCCAAGATGTACTCCATAGCTTTCCCCAAGCCAATGCTGTACTAAAGAGTGAGTAATCTTGCCATTGATTCTACAGTAAGAGCGAACAAGATATTGAATTTATTCTTTATACTTTCATGAATATCACCATGGGAACCACTTTACATATCCAGACTAAAAATCGCGTAGAAAGCCTTTGAATGTTTATCAAATGTGCTATGTTTGTGATGATTTGATACTAAGGAGAGAAAGAGATAAGATCCCTCTTTTTTTTTTTTTTTTTTTTTTTTTTTTGACAGATTTCAACGAC